GTAATCAATTTGCTATAGATGTCTCTCGTTGCACATTACCTCAGAGGTACAAAAATTAGTTGTCTGCTACAAGCAATTTAGGAAGGAGGTTTCTACCTGCCAGCGTATCTATATATATCTTATCTTTGGATAAAATCTTAATTTCAATCTGTTGTGTATCTACAAGCTATTATATATAAAGCCGCAACTTCTGTTTGGATGTATGATCATAACTCATGGACCCCTTGACTAATTTGTCTCAAATTTTTATCTTGGGTTAAATTTTTAAATTAAGTCGACTTTTACAGGGAAAACTCCAGGGAAAGCTGGTTTCCCAAGATAGTCTATAATTTTTCTAAACCTAACTCAAAACTTCACAAGCAAATTGTCTGTTATTTAAAAATCCGACATATTTTTTTACTTTCTTTTTCTTTATTGCCTTTTATTTCATTGGTAACTGTTGTGTTGTAACTACAGTTGAAATCAGTTTCACACGTTGTGTTAAAATATTTGTTAGAAGATGTAAAATGAAGTAAAATATGATAATGGATTTAGATATTGATAAAATGTAATACTTTTATTGAAATATTTTCAATATTCTTGATTTCTCAAGAATTCAATTATTGCCGGCATGAGCAAAATTCAAGAATCAATTTTATGAAGTCAGCATTCATGGTATTCGCTTTACTGCTAAATAAAGAGGGGAAGGAAGCAAATAAACTTAAACACGGCTGAACCGATCCTGCCCAAATTTTGTTGGGGACTTTACAGTTCACATGATCACAGGGAAGGTTTATTATTGCTCAGAGTTTTAAACATTTGTCTCCAAAATCTTAGATTTTCGTAAAAATTTGAAAATCCACTGACAAAATGTAAATCAGCGAATTTTTGTTGTCAGTGTTTTATGAACATAGATTTAACATTTTGCATTATACAATATACATGCTTATTTTTTATAGGTTGAAGTACGGTTTGAATTGAAGGAAATTATAAATAGAATTTTTTTCTTCAAATTATTTTCCGTTAAGGGAATTTAAAGAATTTAATTCTCTCTTTGATCGAGCTTATTCTGCATATTGGGAACACGATGAAAAGTTTTACATCAGGTAAACCTAAGATTAGGTGCTGTGGACTAACTTTCTATCTATCTTAACCAACCTGACTTGGAATCTTAAAATCATGCAAGGTTGCTAAAAATGTTAGAATGGGCTGAGGGACCATGCTCCTTCTTCAGTTTCTTGTGAGCGCATGTCGCAAAATCTGTTTTTTTTGTTGTGCATGCCACCTAATCTTTTTTTCTTTGGTAGTGCATGCCACCTAATCTTTTTTTCTTTGGTAGTGCATGCCACCTAATCAGTTTACTTTGGTAGTGCATGCCACCTAATCAGTTTACTTTGGTAGTGCATCCACCTAATCAGTTTACTTTGGTAGTGCATCCCACCTAATCTGTTTACTTTGGTAGTGCATGCCACCTAATCTGTTTACTTTGGTAGTGCATGCCACCTAATCAGTTTACTTTGGTAGTGCATGCCACCTAATCAGTTTACTTTGGTAGTGCATCCCACCTAATCTGTTTACTTTGGTAGTGCATGCCACCTAATCAGTTTCTTTGTACTGCATTCCGCGTTATCAGTCTCTTTGTAGTGCATGCCGCGTTATCAGTTTCCTTAAGTGGATGCCGCGCAATTAGCTCAAACTCACGCATACCGCGTAATCAGTTACTTACAACAACATGTTGCGTATTCAGTTTCTGACATCAGTTTCTCATATAATATAATATTAGAGAAATTATTTTGTGTGGTTGAGCAGGGTGGAGGCGGACATCTAGGTATTCCTGGAACATCGCATAATGCTGGGAGTACAGGAGATCTTAGTTCCGTAGGTAAGAACACGCCCCCTCATGCCCCCTTTTCCTTGGTCAAGACCCCCCCTGTTTTTTTTGGTCTCGGAGAGTTAAGAATATTATCTTTTTTGTTGCAAGAAACCTTTAATGTGAGTTAATGAGGATCCTGTGGGGGGGGGGGTCAAAAAAATATATACCCATGTACTGTTATAAAAATATTAAGATTGTACTGAAAACTAAGAATTTTAAAGAAAAATATCCATATTGGAAAATCACTTATGATATGGCGGTGTGTGTGCTCAAAACGGGGGGGGGGGGGCCTTTTAGATATTTTTCCTGATATTCCTGGTTAATACCTCCATGTTTAGGACGACAAGACGGGAAAAAGATGTCAACCACCGGAAAGACGAGTTTCAACAGATTTTCTATGTTTGTTAAAACCGGAAGTGAGAATTATATCCTCGGGAAGATGAATATTCCTGTTCCAGACAATGAATATATTATGATACTGGTAGGAACATTCGTTTAATCGTCTCATTCATCCATCCTTCAATCTCTTGATTTATTCAACAATGCATAGTGCATTCATTATATTCTTTCATCTATCCTTTCATCTCTTGATTAATCCATTGAACATTTATTCCATTAATCATCCTTCAATGCATCCATTCTTTCTTTCTTCTCCTGATTTAATCATTTTTCTGTCATCCTTTTATTCATCCTTTCATCTCTTGATATATGTGTTATTTATTACTCCTTTTATTCATTCTTTAATTCGTCCTTTCATTCATTCCTCCTTCTCTTAATTTATTCATTATTCTTTCATCCTTTCATTCATCCTTTTATCTCTTGATTTATTCATTATTCTTTCATCCTTTCATCTCTTAATTTGTCTGTTATTCATTCATCCTTTCATCTCTTGATCTATGCATTATTAATTCTTCGTTTCATTCAACCTTTCCATCTATCTAAATATGTATCTATCTATTTAAATATCTATCAATCTATCTATCTATCTATCTATCTATCTAGGAGGTAGGGGAGAAGAGGTATAGATGGTTGGCCCCTACTAACCCCTACTCCTGTATAGTAGCGTCCCCTAAGAAGGATTCAAAGTTTAAGGGACTGAAAAGTTTTATTGCATACCAGCTCACACCTAGCGTAAGTATAAATTAACGATTTTTTACAAATCTGCATTTATAGGAGGATTTTGACTGACAACCTTTCTTCCGTTTTTAATGATAGTTTTCAGTTTTTCCTTAAAAAATACAAATAGGTTTGCTTTGAAACCAAAGTGATAATAAGCCTAGAAAATAAGGTTTAAAGAAGATAATGAACTAATATTAACCCTGCTTTTGTTGGTTAAAGTAAACAATAAAATTAATTGGGACCATAAAGATTTTTTATAAGTCATCCCTTCCTTATCGCTCTATCTGTTGAATAAGAAATTTAATGATATGACAATGACTAAAATATTCTGCTTCTAAACCCCTCCCCTTATGGATAATTTTAGAAAATATTATTAACCTCTGACAAAATTAAACTAATGAATGTGGTAACTTCCCAAATGTCCAATTTACCAAGCGGCAACTTCCCAAAAGTTAGGTTTAGGCCATGCATCGGGGGGCCAAGCAGCGCTGTGGCTAGGACGAACTTGGGAAATTGATAAATTGAGAATCGAACTTGATAAACAAGATAATTTTGTTTTAGTTCAATAATATCCAAGTATCGAGGAGGTATAAACACTTTGACTGGTTACATGAACGTCTCTCCACCAAATATTTTTATATTCCAATTCCTCCTCTTCCAGACAAGCAAATTCAAGGTAGGCCAGGGGTTTCAGCAGTGTATTGGATCCGCCATATTTTTGTTTAGGATCTATTTCATTTAGATGCCCTGAAAGAAATGAGAATTGATGGTTTTTTAACAGTTTTTGCCCCTAAGATCCTGTGGATCAGGATCCAGGAAGCCTTTATTTTGCGGATCCTAAGCACTGATCTTAGCTCTTTAGATTATTAAAAATATGCAGATCCACAGGGTCGTTAAAAACATCGATTGTTGAAAATACGGGATCGTTAGAATATTAGATTGTTGGAAAATGTACAGTAACATAGAAAGGAAAATCGTGTATTAATTCTAGGAGGAAAAATCTACTTTTATTGTCATGTTTCTTGTCCCTCCCTCCCCCCCTCCTCTCGGAGAAGATATTATAATTATGTTTATATTGTTTGTTTATTAGAGTACTAGAATATCAATCACTCAATACAAATTGTTTATTATTACAAATTAATTCTATTTATTTGCAATACACTGACACATGATCAAGGAACAATAAAGATTAAAAGAAATAAAATATGTTTATTGAAACACTTAATTCAAAGTAGTGCTCAGGGTTCATTTCATTTTGAAGAGAAATAAATGGAACCGGATCCAAATCCAATTCCGGGTTTATAAAAAAAAATTTTATTAGTTTTTTTCTTTTTTTCGTTAATTGTAAACTTTATGAAACATACAGAAACTTTTTCATTCTCACTCTTTTTTTTCAACAGTTCAAATGGGGGCGTTTTCAGATTTTTCGTTGATATTTTGTCTATTGGATCCGGATCCGTGGATTTGCATATTTTTGCGGATCAAGTTATGACATTAAACAATCCAATGATCATGAGACACAGCAACTGTGTAGTGTTAACAGACCCATTTAACTTAGTAAAATGGGTTAAAAGTAAAACACAAATATTGCAATTTTATCGTCTTCATATTCCAGTTTCTTATTCTCACTGTACCATATGTGTCAATGTCACTCTTAAAGTTATATTTCTGTTTTAAAATTGAATTAAATTGTTTTGAATATTAATAAATATAAACGCATTGATAAAATTAATTTTCTTTTATTACAGGTGGTAAGTAAAAAAATATTTTAAGTTTTACCCATATACTTTTCTTATGCATACTTTGCAATCAAGACGATACAATATTGAAAAATTTTAAGAAAAATAGAAAGTACCTATTTTGGAATTGCTAATATATTATATTCAATAAGTTATTGCTAATAATGAAGTGAAATGTTGAGATTACAAGAATTTATTTAAAAATATGATTTCTAATTTCGTGGAGAAATTTGTTAGTTTAAACTTTGTTCATATCTTAAAGGGACTGTATGCAAGTTTCAAGTGACCCTCCATACAAAGATGGCAATGTCAGATTCACAATGGTATCATTAAAAGCGTTGTCTGGTTAAGTATGACATAGACATCAATGTAATTATTTAAATTATGGTTTCTCAACAAAACTGACTTGCGCATTTCTACTACAGGAAAAAGCAAAGGAATTATCATAATTAAACACATTCAACCCTAGAATAACGAAAACATCTTGCAGATTATTGAACAGATAAAAGTTTCAAGGGTACCGTCGGAAAATCAGGGATTGCCGTTTTTGCATTGAGAGTCATTAAAAATTTCGTGAACAGTCCTCTTAATCGAAATTCAAAACCTTAAAAAATTTTGTCGTCTTTGTTGTCATAAAATGTTTATAGATTTTAGAACTAGTATTTTTTCCTTCTCTTTTCTACATTTTTGTCCTTAAAAAGTATTGTCTAGTTCTTTTTAACGATTGTTTTGTAAAATAGTTTTTATTCCTAACATTTGCATATCTTTCACTGTGTCAAATTTAAATCCTGACAGGAGATATATGCAAAAAATAAATAGCAAAAACTATGCAAAAACGATGCAAAAACTATGCAAAAACGATGCAAAAACTATGCAAAAACTATGCAAAAACTTTGCAAAAACAATGCAAAAACTATGCAAAAACTATGCAAAAACTATGCAAAAACTATGCGAAAACTATGCGAAAACTATGCAAAAACTATGCAAAAACGATGCAAAAACTATGCAAAAACGATGCAATAACTATGCAAAAAATATGCAAAAACGATGCAAAAACTATGCAAAAACGATGCAAAAACGAATGTGTTGGAAATATTGTTTTTTATTTTTTTAGAATTTTCCAATTTACATAATACAGTTTTGAACTTGTGAAAGTTTTTTAAAACTTTTATAAACGACTTGCAACACTACAACTAATTGTGCAGTTTTTTTTTAGTTATAAAGCACAACTTTGACTATCAGACCAAAAATACTATTTTTTATTTTAGATAAATTTTTTTTATTGCTCTACACTTTCTTTCAAAACATAATAAAAAATACAAATGATTTTTATACAGCATCGGTTTTAACAATCTACAGCTCGTTGCGTTACCATTATTATCAGAACGGTGAGACCAAAAAAGCTATGTAATTTGAATCTGAAAGTCGTCTTATAATGTTTTATGGATCACTTAATAATAATATAGTTCATGTAGTTACATTTCTACTTTTCAATCTTAACCCTTGATTATGACCAAGGAGTTATTTATTTATATCAACTTTATTTATAAATTAAAGTGACCAGCTAGACATGATAGTTGAGCTAGCTGAGAATCCAGTACTGTAGAGACTTTAGCACTCATTAGGGACCTATAACACGTAGTGTATAATTGTTCAGAAAGAGCACAAATTCCAACCTATAAATCGTCCATTTTTGAAGGATCAATTTGATAATCTCTTTTTAAAATTAAAAATTTTATTGAAAAGGCGACATTCGAAGAATTTGAAAAATTTTACGGACAATAAATAATAAGAAATCTAATAGAATGATGATATTGAAATAATTGAGCCTATTATTGATTTATGGAAAATAAAATCATCGAGAAATATGTTCCTAATTATTTAATAAGTTTACTGTAGAATTTTTGTTGCATTTTCGTTGTCGTTATAAAATAATTTTTGAAACCCCGATTTTCAAAATCATCCTTGAAAATGGAAGAATGTCATCCTCATGTCTAGCCAGTCTCTCCCTATAAATCTTTATTGTAAAACGGCAGCCAATTGGACTTTATATAAAGATGGCTGTAATCGAATTTCAGTGTTTTCTATCTTGAATTGAACAAATCTAGGCCATTTTATTGCACATCTTAGCTTTTAGTATCTGCAGCATCATAGACTTTTAAATTGCATTTATGCTTGATCCTGTTTTATTCTTAATATATATATTCTTTAAATATGTATTATAAGTATGCTCAAAACTCGGCACTTGTTGGAGATATCAAGAAGATCAAAATTGTCGTGAAAGCCTATGAAGTGAAATTGAAAAAAGAAGGCCTTAAAATTGAGATTCACAGATTATATCTTTTATTAATGAACATGCTGAATCTAAATCTAAATATTTAAATCATTGCCACTCGTAAAGCCTCAATCCATTAAGGTTTGAAATGGTAATGTGAAGATAGGATGTCCTTAAAGTCTTATCTGAGCTGAAAACTTAGAATTGGATACCCTTAATCATGTTCGCTTATTCTGAATATCCATACTAAGTTTTCAGCTTTGATTTGATTTAATTTATCTTACATAGAAGGTAGATGGCAGCTCTAAAAATTAAGTCACTTAAAAACCCTGATTCATTACAGGTTTAGTCTATTTTAGCGTTACACTCTTATTAATATGTGCTGATTAATTTTTAAAATTTCGTTCCCTCTTTTTTCTTGCAAAAACAAATTTCACTATGATGTACTATTCGACCCTTATAACTGTGGAATAGACTCAAGTTTTGATTTTAAATCTTCCATTGAATTTGAAACACATCAATTGTGCAGTGTGCTCAGACCCATTTAACTTACTAAGTTAATTTTTAAGTTACTGGGTAAAATAATAACTTTATAAAAACGACAAATACACATATGACGTCTTAAATGTCGTCTTATCATTCCACTGTTATATGGGGTTTGTTAAAATTTCTTAGCATCAAGTTTTTTTTTAAAAATAATTTAGTCTTGTTTGGTAAGGCTAGACAGACCTTTGATTCTTTTGATGAATTTTTTGATTGATTAATTGATGGATTGATTTTGCAGGAAGGTATGAGGAGGAATTTATTGAACACAGGCTGAACCAACTTCAGAGCTTTGTAGATAGAATCTGTAGACACCCTGTACTCTCACAATCCGAGGTTAGATACTAGACACCCTGTATTCTCACAATCAAAGGTTAAATACTAGACACCCTGTACTCTCACAATCCGAGGTTAGATATTAGACGTCCCTGTACTCTCACAATCAGAGGTTAGATATTAGACGTCCCTGTACTCTCACAATCAGAGGTTAGATACTAGACACCCTGTACTCTTACAATCAGAGGTTAGATACTAGACACCCTGAACTCTCACTATCAGAGGTTAAATACTAGACACCCTGTACTCTCACAATCAGAGGTTAGATACTAGACACCCTGTACTTTTACAATCAGAGGTTAGATACTAGACACCCTGTACTCTCACTATCAGAGATGAGATACTAGACACCCTGTACTCTCACTATCAGAGATTAAATACTAGACACCCTGTACTCTTACAATCAGAGGATAGATACTAGACACACTGTACTCTTGCAATCAGAGGATAGATACTAGACACCCTGTACTCTCACAATCAGAGGTTAAATACTAGACACCCTGTACTCTTACAATCAGAGGATAGATACTAGACACCCTGTACTCTTACAATCAGAGGATAGATACTAGACACCCTGTACTCTCACAATCAGAGGAAAGCTAATAAACACCCTGTACTCTAATAATTGGAGGATAATGGCATTGATAGGATTGATGGGATTGATGGTATATATTGGTTTGATGGGATTGATGGTATATATTGGATTGATGGTTCGATGAGATTTATGGGATTAATGGGATGACATTGATGATCTTATTCTTGATCTCTTATCTTGATTAGAATAACATGTAGTAATAATATTTCTTGATCAAGAACAATCTTTTACATTATTGAGCCTAAAACTTTTTGTATTTATGACTGTAAAGATTGACGCCATGTTTCCGCCTCCTGTTCTCCAACCGCCACTGCCGCTACTCTTCGCCATTTTTGTGCTCCATAAAGGCACATTGCGCAACGTTTGAATCTAATCATTATTTTTCTAAACCAGGGGAGCTCGCGTGAAAACAGCCTGAGCTATCTTATAGCTCCCCGGTCACAAAATATATATATTTAATTGTATAGTCATTTTTATTAATATGAATATTGTTATCTTGTGGCCCAATAAATGATTTGATTTGATTTGATTTGAAATTTATTTAATTAATGGATTCATTGGATTGCATTTATGGATTAATGGGATTGATGAAATTTCTGTGATTAATGAGATTGATCTAATACTTTGTTTATGGATTGGATAGATGGATAGATTGGAATGGCAAGAATGATGGTATTGTTTGAATTGATGAATTGATGAACAGGAGGATTAAAAGAATGTTCTATGTGTAATGTATATGTCCAGGTTTGTATATTTTTTAGAATAAAAAAATGATTTTTTATGATTGGGGGGGGGGGAATTCAAAATTGGACATCAAAAGGCAACTTTTTTTCACTATTTTCTTGTTGCTTTTTCCCAAATAATTCATCGATTTCGCGCTAAAATAATTAATTTTCCTCAATTCAGCGAAGAAAACCCCCAAAAAAATCGTTCGCAATCATATTTTAATCCTAGGGGAAAAAATGATTTTCTTAAGGGAGGGGAAGAAAAATGATTTTTTTAGAAAATATACACCCCTGTATCTGTCTGCTGTATTATGCCAGTTATTTAATCATTACTGGCAACTATTAAGAAAAAGCTCCGAATGTAATTAAGTAGAAGATGTAAACACAATTAATTTTTTGGCCAAAAGAGATACAATTAATCACTGTTCTCTCTTTCGAATTAGGAATTAGTAGATAAGAATGTCGGATTCGCTACGGTACCTTTATAACCTTGCTCTGATCAAGGTCAACGGAAATGTCCGGCCTTGTTCTTTTCTTGTTGAAAATTGATTATTTTCAATTGCGGTTTCTGTTCTAAAAAACGAATTTTAGCATATTTTAAGATAAAAAAAAAAATATTTTCTTCATTGTTTTTCAGAAAAAGGTTTAACTTTTCGACCTGACCCTCTTTAAATGTAGAGTCACATGGAATCACAAACTAACTAATCTAACTTTATGACACTAGGTTTTTAGGGTGCGAGGCGCCAATCTTCAATTTCAATTGTGAACATTTTCTCTTTCTATTCATTATAAGACAAAAACGAAAACAAATTTTCGCAGATTTATAAAAAAGAATTTCGTGGATTTTCAAAATTTTCAAAAACCATATTTTGTTAGAGGCACATTTTTGAAAATTCGATCATCCATAACCCTTCCCTGGGGTCCTGTGAGGTCCCACAAAAAATTGTGCCCGATCGGTTCAGCAGTTTTGACGTTTATTGGATACAAACAGACAAGCAAAAAAATTATCATGATAAGTACAAGTATTAAAAAATCTTAAATGAATAGATCATTTTTTGTTAGGTTTGGATGCATTTCTTGACCTGTACAGACGAGAAAAGATGGAAATCAGGGAAACGAAAAGCAGAAAAAGATCCTTTAGGTGAAATATGATTTAATTGTTTTTATATATAAAACTAACCATGAAAATAATATTTCTTACAATAAGATTTTTATATCTACAGAATTGCCTTACCCAGTTTGTGAAATCCAATTTTCGATACTAGGTTTATAACGATTCCCTGTTTTAAGCTCTTAGAAGATGATAAGATGTTGAGTAGAATAGTGAAGGACTGGACAGACACCATTAATTTCTGATTTCTGGCAAATATCCTGCTTCTTGGTCATCAATATCAGTTCTTGGGATTATTTTAGTCGGATCCGGGATCTGCTGCTCTAAAAAAAGGATTCATGTCAACAATTTTACATGGAAAATTCTGAATATTTTACAAAACTAAATTTTAATCATCAAATATTCTTATATTTGACAGTGTGTTTCCGAACCTCCCAGAGGAAGGGTGTCAGCAGAGCTTTCTAAGTCTGTTGAGAGAAAGGGCGCTATGTTCGTTGTACTAGATATAGTAGTCTAGATATCAAGGTCACTTCTCTCCACAACTGAGAAGAAACTTGACTAATCCCAGACAAAAAAAAGGACTAAAGATGAAAGAAGGAATACAGAAACTCAAAAAATCAGGGATACAGTACATGCTGATACTGGTTTAAGGGGAAACAGAGCCTTCAATAGACTTTAAATCAAATACCACAAATTGGTTTTTTACCCTTCTCACGATGGAAACTGGATTACTCATGGCAGACCTCTTACTACGATAGGCGAAAGATGCAATTTCCGTGTTTTAAAGCGATGGGACAGCATGCTCAGTGGGTTAATGTTCTTTAAAAATCTGTCCACGTGGGAATACACGTTAAAAGTGGGAACTATGGTATTTCTCAAACCTGTTAACCTTGCACCCCCATCCTCATCCTCCTCCTCCAAACCTCCTTATCTCTCTACTACCTGCTCCACAACTTGATGTCACAAGAACTATGTGGAAAGGCCTCAAAATATAGAAACAAGAAACAAGAAGAGAAAAGAAAATTGAACAGGAAAAATTGGAAGGGGCTCTACATTATATATTTATTCCATTAGCAAATTGAGAGNCTGATAGAAAATACATTAGAAATATGTGTTTGTTTGGAGCTGAAACAAAAACTTGAATTCAGTTGCTTACACCTCTAATGTGCGTACTGTAGAAATATGAAAGGAGGCACCTTAACTTCGTTCTAAAGTTTGCAGCATGGCAAAACTGTAAGGATGCTTTAAAAAAAAAAATTCGAAATTAGCCGAAATATGATTTAAAGATGTCCGAACCAGAAGAAAATGAAGAACAAGAAATTTAGAAAAGTCAAAATATTTACATCTGCTATCATATAACTATTTAAAGAAGATTGTTAAAAAAAAAAAAAAATTAAAAATAAAAATGTAAAAAAGTTCATTTTTTGAATAAAATTTTAAAAATCTCGTTGTTTGTTTTTCAAATTAATGATTTATTTGAAGATTTTTTCAACAGATTAAATATTTTTTTTCGATCTGTTTCAATATTTTTTTTTCCAGTTTGATATTGATAATATAGAAAAGATTAAAAATAAAATTCGATTATTTATTAAATTTTTTTTGATAAGTGTATTTGGAATGAGATTTTTTTTTTAATGATTAAAATTCTTTCAGTTGGAGGAGGTAGTTTTCTGACCTTGAAACCTCCAGAGAAAAGTTTGGATGCCGAGTTTGTGTAAGTACTTAGTATCCTGTAATATTTAACTATTTTGCCTTTTTTTTTTGATCTTTTTAACCAAAAAAAAAATTCTCCCTGAGATGTTTATAATTTTTCAAAATTTTGCCAGAAAAATATCAAATTATATTTGCCCCGGATATTTAACTCCAACATGGCCTTTAATTAAACATATTCAGTTTAAGACACTGCACTGATTAATGTTATAAATATCTTAATTTTGCATTAGTTCCTGGAAATTGGGAAATAAATATCAACTAATTATTCCCTTAACATGTAGTGATAATGAAACACAGACGTTCTCTCAGTTTTCTCTTCATTTTGATTCTGCAGTCAAAAATCTAGCAAAGGTAAAATTTATAAGAAAACCAAATTTTAGAAATATTATTATTATTATTTTTAAACATGCAAATATGAAATAATACCTTGGGAACCCAGTTTTGCATGAAGAAAACAAATTTTCAATAAAAGTCATACCACTCAACTTTAAACCAGACTAAGAACATTTCCATGGTTCTACCAAGTTCCTCAATCAAAATTTGAGGCAAATTGGCCAACTTGTTTATGAATTATGACCAATGATCAATGATCATACGAACAAAAGCACAAAATATTTGGTAAAATATTTGAACTTTAAAATCAAACAATAAAAAAATTAAGAAAGGCTTTGTGGGAGCCAGTGATCAGACTTAATGATACGGAAGCGGCTGATCAAATTATTTGATTCCGAAGCCGCTGATTAAACTCATTGATTAACTGCTTTATTAGGAGCTGATAAACTGACTAATTTACCTGAGTACTAGCATAATAATGTCAGTGACACATTTTCTCTGGAAATAAATATGTACAATAATAGCTGATATATATAAAACCCCCAAGCCTAGGAGTATTTATATCTGAAACATGAAAGATGTATAGTACACAACAAAATATAAAAGTAATCAAAACAAGAACATTGTTGATTAATTGATTAGGTAGCAGCTATTCAAACTAACTGATTATTTGATCAGGTAGCAGCTATTCAAACTAACTGATTATTTGATCAGGTAGCAGCTATTCAAACTAATTGATTAATTGATCAGGTAGCAGCTATTCAAACTAACTGATTAATTGATCAGGTAGCAGCTATTCAAAATAATTGATTAATTGATCAGGTAGCAGCTATTCAAACTAACTGATTAATTGATCAGGTAGCAGCTATTCAAACTAACTGATTAATTGATCAGGTAGCAGCTATTCAAACTAATTGATTAATTGATTAGGTAGCAGCAACTAATTGATTAATTGATCAGGTAGCAGCTATTCAAATTAATTGATTAATTGATCAGGTAGCAGCTGATCAAACAACAAAGTTCCAAAATGATTATAAGCGTGAGTTTACTGTTATAGGCAGATCATTCATCCAGCTTGGGCAGGTCAGTTGTAAATATGTTTCAGGGGTGTAAATGTATTTTCTTGAAAAAATAATCCCCTCAAAGTTACGATTAATGTTATTCTTAAAATTTTCGAAATTTACCATCAGCTTAAAACTGAAGTTTTAAAGTGAAATTTCTCTGTGTTCATTGTGAATAATAATTAAATCATTTCTACGTGATTTTTTACAAAACAAATTATTCTTGTTTTTAATTGAGTGTTAAGACTCAACCGTCTGGATTTTACTGAAAAAAAGCTTTTTTAATAGATCCTTAAAGTTTTTTGTCATGTTTATGCGTCATTTAGCCCATTAAAAAAAGTTAATAATCCCCCAACGGCATCTTGTTAATTCTAAGAATAATATTTTGTTCAGGCTATGGAACAGGACGGAGGCAACTACAGTCCAGGTTCATTATTTTTTCTTTAAAGAAGAAGCATGGATATCACAATTCAGAATCTCTGATTCAAATCACCATGAATCTTAAACTTTGAATCAATTATTCAATATTTAAACCGGTCTTAGGTAGTTCAGCGAGCTAACTCAAATTCAGTTTTTAGTCCTCGATCTACTAAAATCTGATTTTTTTGGGATTCCAGCCCCAGCTAAAATGCAGTCCTGGGTCAATAATAAATAAATTCAACAAAGTTTAATATTTCTTCTAATATTTCATTTGAAGAAATATTATACATTTGATAATCATTTTTGTGACAGTTTAGTTATAAGGAATTAATATGATTAATATATTAATATGATTTTAGAGAAAAATTGGTTTTCGGTAAACCAGCTGCAAGCCGTAAGAGCCAGAAGCTGCTCGGGATTTGTCAAGCTATTTTTTTTTAATCAATTCAATTTAAGTTTAATCAAAATAAAAATGATCAACATGATACCGTTTTTTTTTCTCTTTAAATAGAAACGTTAATTTGGAGGATTTTCTAAATCTTGTTTTTAAACTTGTGAAGTGAAAATGAATGATACTTAAATTTATTTTTATTCATTACTTTGCTACATTGTATTCAGAGAGTATTTTTTCCATAAAATAAATATTTTTCTAATGATATTTATTTTAACTAGGTTTAAATAGTGCAGTTCTTCATACAGGAGAAACCTACGAGGAACTGGGGAAACTATACGAGGAACAGCCAAGGTACCAATTCAGGCATTTATTCATTAATTCATACATTCATAGTTTTATTCATCCTTTATTGGGATTCATTTCTTTATCCTTCATGTTTAATGTTTATTCATATTTCAACTCTTATTTATTAATATCAACGCTTATATTCATTTTTGTATCTATTCACATAATAATTCATCCTTTTTTACTTTGTATCCTGAGCCCGCGATTTAAAAAATTCGGGAAAATACGGCTCGGGTATAAGCTGTTGTTGAGCCTTATTTACGACTTGAGCTTTCTGATTCAAATTGCATCTTATTTTTCATAGAGTTGAGTTCAAAAAAACGGTTTAATTTGGCGGATTTTCATGCACGGTAGGAATTGACGCATTCCGGGTTTTTATAAGAACAAGACTCAACATTGAGCCTTATTCTCCAATAAAACCTACCAAGGTCGATTTTATTTTCATTGAACCTAACTCCTTAAGTCGAGTCTAAGATCTTTCAGCTGTCAATCACGTGACGCAAGCTGTCGTCAGAGTTAAGTCCAAGATTGGGTCTAAAAGCTAAGTTTAATGAATTACGACCCGAGCCGAAGTTTTTAAATCGCGGGCTCTGGTTGCTACATACTCTCATGGTTTAAATCTAGGTTGGACTGGGAGCACCTAGCAGATATGATGCATGATTACAAAGGTCTTTTAACAGGGTTTCCACAGATTCTTCATGTTCACTCTGTAAGTTAAGAATAAATTTTTCTATTTTGTTATTGTTAGTTTTTTTTTATTTGGGTCGGTCTAACTAACTATCTATCAATCTTAGCACCTGTCTATCGATTCTATCTATCTATCTATCTATATATCTATCTATATATATATATAACTAACTAAGTATCTATGCATTTTTATCTTCATATGTATCTATGTGTATCTATGTATCTGTGTGTATCTATGTATCAATCTTTGCGCCAAACTAT